TTGAGACTATTAAACATCTTAAAATACAGACACTTTCCTGCACGTGCATTTCAATAAAAACGTCACACAAGTCCAATATCTCATCTAGTATAAAATAATGTGTACGATTGGGGCATTGAAATGGAATGCCAGCATCAAAGGATATAAAATGTAAATCAGTATGTAATAATCATTATTTTATTATAACATAAACAATATTTAAATTACAAAGTTAAATTTATTATTTTATTTTATTTCTTATACAAGTCAAGAAGATAACACCCTCTTTGTTATTTCCTTGACCATGACTAAAATCTTCAGAATATAATCTTGCCATTGGAGTATTCTGGTTTTGGATTATCATCTACATATTTTTGTAAATATGTACACGATAACTTTAATTGGACGTCTTCTTTCATAAAATGCTCAATAGCTTCCTGAAAACCAAATAAACAGATTACAGACCTGGTCCTGTAAACATATGTATTTAACACATATGCTTTGAAAAAATGATCTGGTTATATACAATGTCTCTTAAATTTCACAACCAATGAAAATATCAGTGATTTTCCTGGATTTATAAGTGTTGTGCAGGATGGGTACTCTTTCATTATTGACAATGTGACCATCTTAAATGTGCTTAACTGTCCAAGAGATTAGTCATTGACTCATATATTTGATTTATATAGAAACCCCAATTGTACTGATACCTGGTGAATAAATGAAAAGCATCCCCCATCCAAACTAGGGAGATGCTGTTCAATTGAAATCTGTGATGCCTGTGGCTTTGCAATAAAATTGTCTAAGATAATATAATTAACTGTATACATGCTTCTGAAAGTTTTAGTACAAGAAAATAAGATGGAACATACTTTAGCTAATATTTTTGCTATTCCTTTTCCTCTAAATACAGGTGGGACTTCAGTGTGATAGAGATCGACAATGTTCGGTTTGATAAATTCATACTGCAACATGGCTTTTTCTTCTCCCCCGCTATCTATAACAGAAAAATCCACATATCTTCAGTCCCAATAAGTTAATTTGAAAAAGATATTGATATGAATTTTTTTATATACCAAACACATATTATTAATATTAATCAAATTTGACCTTAAAGTAGCTAAGTCTCTAACTTAATATCACCCGAAGTCTTTGACATTGAAAACATGAATTGTTTGTCAATTTAAATCAACATTGATGTTGTGATCTTACCAGGAAAAGATGGGCTTCTAATATCCAATATTTAAGACAAAATAAACATTTTACCATTGATACAAGAATCGTGTACCATAATGCATTTCAACACCATTTGTAACAAGGTACTCGAAGAACGAGGCTAGACATATTCCACAAGTCATGTCAAACAGTGATGCCATATTCTTATGTGGAGAGCATGCACAATAAATACTTTCGGTGTAGACAGGAATAAACAGACGATAGAGATTGCCATTCGATTGAGACTTCTGGCATATTTCGCGGAACATAACTGATTTGAAATTAGAGTAAAAACAGAAATGATTGAATGTAAATCTGTTTATATACATTTATATTATATTATTATATGCACCACGACCCATTTGTGTCAATTTCTAGGTCCCAAATATTAGCGATTTAGCTCCTTTAAATAACTATAATTTAGTAAATGCATCCTTGTGTTGATATATGGTATAACATTGCTACTAATGTAGCCATTGTGTTTTAATTGTGAATGACTAGAAAATAAGACCCCATACATTTCGTGTTTGGTAACATAAATATGTAAAACAAAAATAAAATAAATTTCTTGAAAGCAAGTGGAAAGGGTATTTGAGATAAGATTTTTATGGTGGGCTACAGCCAGGGGCGTACATAAAGATTTTGTTTGGGGGGTGTTTAGCAAAAATGCGACTGACTAATGCACATGTCCCTAATACGAGTGACGCAGTTAGTGGCAGAGCACCACAGATGATAGTTTTCTAGGGGCCAGTAGCTGATCTGGAAGCTGGGAATAGGGGGTGGGGCAGTTCCAAATCTAGGGCGCCATCCACAATCACACCCCACAATAAAAGTCATCAAAATACTGGCTTTAACACTGGACATAGAACATAGATCTTATTGCCTATATAGTTGTTTGCGGATCATTATCTCGTCGAAAAGCAGTTTTATTCAAGTTGACGTAAAGTTTATGTCATATAATATGATGATTGTTATTGATTTTGTAATTAAATTGATGTGAACCTTAGGGGCAATTGCTATAACACTGAGCAACCTGAGAAAATTTTGAAAAATTGAATCAATATCCTGACATTTGAGGTCATTGTTGGGAGCAAATTCTTGTGAACAAGAGAAACAGAAATAGGAGTCAATGGGACAGAATCTCGAAATCTGCCCCTGTCAATTCCGCCTGTTTTGCAAGAGTTGTCAGAACATTTGTACAGTCTGATGCCCCACGACCCAAGCACCAGCGGTACTACTAACTTGGCAGTTCACTATAACCGTGAATATGATAGTGGAGAGGCAGTATAAGACCACAGAGGAGTGGAAGAATGATGTCATAATGGAATCTAGCGGCACAGGCGCAAACAAATTTCAGATATGTAACTGACCTTTTAATTTTTAGGGAATGGGCCGGAAAAGTTTTAGTCAGGGTCATGACAAATGGGATCAAATTCGCCTTAAGGAGAGGATAAGAAATGGAACAGAATCTTGAGGCCCATCCGTCAAATTTTGCCTTGTTGTGAGAGTAGAAATAACAATTCTACAGTCTGTCACCCCACTCACTAGTGGTACTACTAACTAGGCGATTCACTGTATATTCACTGAATATGATAGTAATGAGATTGTATAAGACAGAGGAGTTGAAGAATAATGACATCATAGAATTTAGATTATGTAACTGAGCTTTTAATTTTTTGGGACGGGGCCTCAGGGGACTTTGTCTCACGGGGGCGCTTATACTTGGTCTCTGAAATGCCATTTACTGGTCTTTGAGGTCTGGGGAAAGGTTTTGCAGAATTCTAATAGTCAGAAAATAGTTACAACATGAGTAAAATACATTTTAATTTCTACTGGGATTAAATATGCAACAAGTAAAAATTCTTAAGTTCAACAGATCGCCTTAACATTTCATAATTTAAAAGATTTTTTTACATATTTCTGAAACAAACTCTGATAACTTCTTAATGTTATTCGTATGACAATCAATAATATAATTTAAGTTATCAAAATCTTTGTAAAAAGCTCTCTCAATTTCTTACACCAACATACTCATAACAGGGAATTCTTTTTTTCAAACGTGACAAGTTGACTTGGTTATTTCACACAAAATTTTTCCCTTCTATTTTGGCATTGTTTACCACATTAATTCATTTAGTCTGAGACCGACTGCAGTGAGCACTTATTTTGAGACCAACTATGTGACGCAAAAGAATTTTGGTGCACATATATTAAGTATATGAGATTTTCCCCTTCTATTCTGGCATTGTTTGTTTATGTCATTAATTCATTTCATCTGTCCCCGATGCATAATTTTGAGACGGCACTTATTTTTAGACTGACTATTTATCTCCCGTGGGGGGGTGGGTTTTTTTTTCCTAGACCAACTCACAATAGAATATGGGTAAAAAAACATTTTTTTCAAACATAAGGTGACAAGGTTATTTTATACTAAAGTTTTAGGTGAATAGCGTGACGTATGCAATTTATTTACACAAATACATAAAATTGGGGATTTTTCCTTCTATTTTGGCATTGTTTGTTTACCTCATTAATTCAGTGACCACTTATTTTGAGATCTACTGCACTTATTTTGCGACCGACTCCAATTATTTTGCGACCGACTTTTGGGAAGGGAAATGTGCTGTGTAACTGGAATGGAAAAAAAAACATTGATGTGTACACATTGTCATTGTAGAATTTTTGGCTTATTAATCTGAGAAGTAACTGTATGTGGATATAAAAAAAATCTGGGAAGTTGGGGGTGCTGGGAAAATGGGTAATTTAGAATCTTTGCCTATACTTTTGACAGCTCTGTCTTCATTAGCCCCATTCGTGCAGGAAAGTTAGATGTTAAACCCAATTCATTCATTCACCCATATAGACCTACTTTTGACTGGTCAATTCAATCAATCAGTGTTTTTAAGGGAGATTTTAACATTCTGGTATATTTTATTTAGGAACAAACTCGAAATCCACCCCAGGCCCATAGTCAGAGGGGGTAAGGGAGGCAATGCCCCCCCCCACCCCACGAAAAAATGTTTTGCCCTCCCCCTCCCGAAAAAATTTTTCCCGACCATTATAGCTCTAAAATACCTACTGTAGACTGTGCCGGGTGTGCCCCCTCCCCCCTAAAAACTTCACTGCCCCTCCAAAGCTAGCAAGCTGATCCACCCCTTTAGTATTTGTGATAAATTTTAGAATCTAGCTACAGTAAATAAACTATTTTTTTTATAAATAAAGAATGACTGGTTTGCTGATTTGTAATGCATGCGAAATTGTGATTTGTTATCCATTTGATGGAGGCATAGTACCCGGTAATAGTTGACCCTTTGTTCTTTATAATTATTAATAACATAAAATCATAAAAGAAATTGTTTGGGCCCCTTCTGAGAAATATTAAATTAGAACCGAGATTTGTAGAGTCTAGTCAGGCGCTATAATTGTGTGACGCTATAATTAGTCCTGTATAAATGTAAGGTGACCTGAAAATAAAACATGCCACAGTCTTGACACAGGTATTATTTTAATCCATATTTTATTTATTTACCATTTATAATAGTTATAGCAAACTCGTTGGATTCTTTGATGTGAACAACATTGTATGCCATTATGGTAACTTTGTTTGAAAAGCTTTGCAATCCACTTAAAACATTAGCACCGCTTTTGTCTTTGGCAAAAAACAGAGGCCTTTTAAATGTTAAAATTCGTTTAAACATCTGTCTAAATACGGAGATTAATTCACGATTTTTTTTTTTTTTTTTTCTCTACAAAGGTTACTAATATTCTTGTTGTGACAATCAAGACTATGAAATAAATGGGAGGCAATTCTAAAAATTACGATTCTAAACAAAACCACGTGCTGTTGTTTTTGTCATCAAATCATGAAGACTCGAAGATAACGTATTGATCGTAGATACTTTAAGAATTTGACACATTTTGGTAGTTTAATATGGCAGATTGTAAATTTGCTCGTGACCAACTAGCAAAATATGGATGGGTTTCAGGTGTGAAAATATTTCACTAAAATAAGAAGAGTACCGTACTGAGTAGTAGTACACAGAACACATTCCAAAATACGATTTACCATGTCCATGTTAATATAAATATTATTATTATTTACCGGTACCTACCAATTTTCTTGATTCTTGGTGGTATTGCAAATTGGTAATCATGTAATGTTGCAATGTCAGTGTGATAATAATAAGGATCTTTGTATTTTTGTTTACAGGATCTGGTTTAGGAAAAGAAGAACAGGGTATGGTAAACCCTATAAAGGTGTCTATTAAAAATAACAAAAAAGGGGTATGTTTATAACCTCAGAATTAATATTTAGTAAGGGTAACAGTTTGTGTAAAATATTGCCCACCTTCGATATAGCCAATATAGGCTAATAATAAATCCTGGTGTGGGCCATCGCATCCATCTCCTAGTCCCCTTTACCTTAGAATTTGATTGTTCCACACAGACTCCATATGATATGAAGCCAGGATTTTTCTGGAAGGCAGATGGCTAAATTAAAGCTCGTGGACGAAGTGCATTTTTTAATTGATTGTGCTCATCTAGCAACATACAGGAAATGTTTATGTGAGCTTATTGAAAAATCCAATACTAACTTGATCAACTTGAGTAGTCTGAACAAATATATTTGGTTACTAACTTGTGAAAATGTAGACATATTAAATGAACCTGTTCGCTTCTTGCACAAGACCTTGCCACAATAAGATTATTTTCTTTATCTTGGTTAAGCACCACAGGGAATAATATATAGGCTTACATAATTTCTGACTTAATATTGGTCTGTAACATACAGAGTGAAGTGGATTTATCTCCTTTCATGTTCTCATGAGCTGGTGGCTAAGTTGGTAAGACGCTGGCTCGCTAGCCTGGAGGTCGGGTGTTCCATCCCTGCATTGGCTGAGAAAGTTCATCGAGATTTTCCGGCATGGTTTCCTCTTGTCAGTGATGCAGGACGGAGGGCCTGAAAAGGACAGCTGTCTAGTCATTCAGATGGGACGGAAAACCAAAGTCCCGTGTACATATTGGCGTGCACGTAAAAGATACCTTGGCAGTTGGAATTCGATATAAGAGTAGGTTGTAGTGCCCCTGCCCGGTCAAAATTTCCCTCATAGCACACTGTATGGCTTATGGCCGTTTTCTTTAGCCCAGTTTAGGAGCAAAACAGTAGGACGTTAAACCCAATTTCATTTCATTTCATTTTTTCAAGAGTAACGTGGCACCAGTGAAACCCGTCATTACTGTTTTGCAGTTCTAGTTAGGGTTTCACACTGCGTAGCTTGTGTGAAACACTATTGTTTTTGTTAAGATTATTATTAGGGTTTCACACTGCATAGCTTGTGTGAAACACTATTGTTTTTGTTAAGATTATTATTAGGGTTTCACACTGCGTAGCTTGTGTGAAACACTATTGTTTTTGTTAAGATTATTATTCTTCTTATTATTATTATTATTATTATTATTCCAAATTATTTTTGATTAGATCTCAGCAACTCCTTGTCGGATCGTTACGATTTCTTCGGTTTTACTGGAAAAGTGGGTGTGACTTAGAGGATAAAGCTATTTTGATCGTTCTGCGACAATGCGAAATGTCCGAAATCACCGAAGCTATCGGTTTTAGAAATATCGCAGTAATTTTAACAATAATCATTGGATTTTAACTTTCGATACATTTTGGCATAGCCGGACACAGGGCACATAGCTATGCTATTTTTGATTTTCGGCAAATCTTCACAGATATTAGGCGCCAAATTTCGAAAATTTAAATTTTTACAAAAAACTTTTTTATTTATGAATATTTTTTAGTCGTGTTTTACACAAAATTAACGAGTCATCTGACTTGAGCAAAAATCTAAAAAAAATTTGTCTCCGTAATATTCCTTGGCCGCCATTGGCTAATTCAGTTTTTCAGTCCTAGATTAATTATATATTGTTCGATTTGTATAAAACAAAGTTCATATACCCCGTTGTCTCAATTCCCATTTTTTTTGTTCCCGATTGAGTTATCTGTCGGCACAGGAAGTGGCGTAATTTTGCCAAAAACTAAAATTTTGACAGTTAGGTACCACTTTTCGAAAGCAAATATTATTTTTTTCAAATCTGGTATAACTGAAAGGGTGCGCCCTTTAAAGGCACAAAAAATGTTGTGCCCAGTTTTTTTAATTTCGATTCCGTTTTCGGGCTATTTCGATTAAATGGTGAAAAAAGGTGTAAAATTAAGCTATTTACAACCCATCCAGCGTTTTCATATTTTAAAATATTACTTCGTAACTTTCATAAACTCGTTGCAATAATCTATATGGAGAGAATGTATGTGAAAATTAATTTGTAATATGCGCAGTTGCCGAGAAATGGTCAATTTTGCATGAGTCACTCTTTACGCTATTGTGCCTGTAAAAGAGTCAATTATTATTGGATTTCCATAAAAGTGACACCATTTGATGCATAATGTCAATTGCGACTAGTTCAACTCAATTTTACATTTTCAATGTCACCGGAAATGACGAAATTTGGGCAAAAACTGTATTTATAGCCTTCGAAACAAATAATTTATTCAAATGAGTCGTATTTAGTGTTTGTTTAAGATTTTGATATTTGATTCTAATCAACTAAAAGAATGAACCCATACGATCATATAGATATCACAAAATGGTTTCTGACTTGTTCAGTTGCGGAGAAATAGGTCACTTTTCAAGGTTTTTTGTCCACAAAAGTGTCAATTATTATTCGATTTTCATAACATTTTCACTGTGTGATACCTAATGCCATTTACGATTTCATACAAGTAATTTAAGATTTTCATTATCACCATAAGTAACGTCATTTTGGCAAAAACTGTATTTTTAGCCTTCAAAACAGATATTTTATTCAAATGAGTCTTATTTGTATTGTTTTTAAAATTATGATATTTGATTCCAATCAGCAAATAGATTGAACCCATACGATCATACAGATACCAGAAAATGGTTTCTAACTTGTACGGTTGCAGAGAAATAGGCGATTTTCTACAAGTCACTTTTCAAGGTTTTTGGTCTATAAAAGTGGCAATTGTTATTCGATTTACATAAAATTTTCACCATGTGATGCCTTATGTCATTTCTGATTTCATAAAACTAATTGAACATTTTCATTATCACCGGAAGTACAGTACACTTACATGTAACAAATGTATAAAATGAATTGATATTGCTGGATTTTGTTGATTCGGCGTCCATTTTATTTGATGTGTGCAATGCTTATGTGGAAACCTGTTTAATGGTTTCATTGGTAGCGGAAGTAACATGTTTAGGGTAAAGTGGCACTGGTGAAACCCGTCATTACTGCATCGCAGTTCTAGTTATTATTATTATTGTCCATATAATTTGATTCATACAATAATATTTCAGCTCTAATCTAACTGATTTTTATTAATTTTCTCTATAATTGAACTCTCCTTGGTCAAATGTTAACCCCTTTACTGTGTAGTTTTTAAAACATTAACTACCCCCTATTGTGTAATTAATTTGACAAAAAACGTCATTTTTAGACCTTTGTATTCCTGAATAAACACTATAGTAGACTGAAACCATATTAAAACTAACGGTAAATAGAGTTGTCTCCCTTCAATTAGATTTCCTCGACCAGACGTAAAATAACGTCCTACACATGCTGCGATGGGAAAAATACCTCCAGGGCGTTATATTACGTCCTACGCAGTTAACAGGTTAAAGATGTTGTGGTATGAGGTCATTCTTTTTGTCTCCAAAATTTCATAAAATTATGTGTGAACATTATGTACCATGCTAAATGTCAGTTAATCAAATACTGTGTATTGCAATTATTTACAAAGTCAGCCTGCATGTATTTGGAAGAAGGGGTGGGGTGGGGGCTCTTGTGGACATTTACATTTAAATAATTACATTAAATTTTATTATGTAAATAGGAAATGACATATCTCACAACCGGATGAATATTGAGTTGAGTAGGATGGATTCATAAAGATATGAAGTCCTTTATGGTGGATTTAAGTAAATGATTCTACCCAAAGACTGGTAGCCTACCCATCCTATGTAATACAGATCATTAAAGATACATTATGGGAGATTCGATAACGAGTTGGCAGTTCTCACTATAATAGTTAAAAACTAGATAATGTAAAGGCAATTTGCTGAAAATTTCATTTAAATTGATCCATTATGACCCGAGAACTAAGCGGTTGAAATTTCCGCCTAGCCTCAGCCATCATCATCCATTTAATCTTTAAATCATGAAGGAAAGTTATGCAGTAAATCGGCTCACAATCCACTAAAGATCGCAGGCTAGCGATGCCATCTAGAGTTGATTATGGTCTGGATAAGTTAATTAATGTCTAGTTAATGTCTAGTTAATAATTTAGATAACATTTCAGGCCTAAAGAAAGACCTGCAATAGACAGATTTAACTCTTGCATAATGTATGTTTAAGATTGTAGAGGACACGCTTCAGAATTGTACAGATTACAAAATTACAAATAATGTATACAAGGTCACAAAATTTGATTTCATCTGGTGTTTGTTTGTTTTGAAAAATGGATATCTTTCTACAATTTATGTTGTTAGATTTAAAGCTAGTGTTTAGATTTTGCCTAATGCTTAAATTAGTAAACAAAGCATCTTTGACTTACACTTCCACATAATTACTTAAAATAAGACACAAGATCAAATGTTCCTTAAAGGGACAATAACACTCTTGCTGGCTTGACAGCTCCAGAAAATAAAAAATAGCCTTATTCTAAGTACTAGATGTGTTAGTGTCCTACCTGTTGTGTAAATTATCCATTAAATCCTATTTTACTTGTCCAGAGGGTTCAAAAATATTTTTAAATCCATGTCACATTTGAAAAGCTTTATGTCAGGCTTTTCAAATCATTTAGTTGAATTTTTCCAATTTTTTAAATTAGGTGTGTATAGATGAATTTTTCCAATTTTTTAAATTAGGTGTGTTAAGATGAAATTTGTATCATCAATTAATTGTAAAATAGTACAATTTGTTGACGAGAATAAAGATTGGGACATATTATTCAGTTACAACAAGAGTGGTATTGAGCCTTTAAATTATGTCTACCATGATTTGTTTTCCAGGTTGGCCATGACCCAAGTAAAGAATTCACTAACAACTGGTGGAATCATATGTTTAATAAAGCTGCTAGTAGTATTACAGTTGATAATACTGAGGTAGAGAAGCTCTCTTTTTGTTTTGTTTAACTGTTGTAAATTGTTATTAATTGATTGAAAATTTCAAGAAAAGATTTAATATATCTGGGCTGCACCCCAGATTCCAAAATGCTTGCCAGGCATCAGCATGAAATTAAAGCAGACTCATCATGAGAGGTAGAATTCCATGTAAATAAAACTGAATGATCCATATTTTGACCAAAAGTTTTATTTCATTTTGTACAGGATGGTGTCAATGTTAAAAGTTTAGTTAAAGAAGAAAAACAAGAAGAGAAAAAATCTGTGCTATATGGTAACTTTATAAAGGTATTATTTTAACAGATCATTTTATAACTTAATTTATAAATTTTTAAGATATAAGTTTTGAATGACATTTACAAGTTGAAATTTGATGAAAATCATTATTTTAACTGAGAACTAACTGCCTTTGCATAAAGGTTGTAATATTCTGCCTTTTTAAATTTCAAGAAGCAAAGTACCATAAAACATATTTTCGTTACTATATGTCATGCCTGCTATATAAAATAACATGAACAGTTAGATGTGGATTAAAAATATTTTGGTTACTGGTAATTAACATACTTTAAATTGAATGTTAAATTTTCAACAAAATGTTTTCGGACCATGAATGGAATGACATTAGAATGCAAATGACTCTCAATATCTTAACTGTATTTGTTGATTCAGACATCAACACTAACTAATACTTCAGATGGATGTGAAGAGGTTTTTCACGATAAAGATGAGGATGAGAGTTCAGAAGATGAAGATATTTTGAAATTAAAGTAGGCATTGTAGTCTATTTAATTTTCAGCCATCATTCACATTTTCGCTATTTTGTATTTGGTGCAGTGTTGAAATGTATAATTATTGACAATGGGATAATCAACCCAAGGAGAAAACTCCCATTTTGAAACAATGGATTGATATAAATGAAATGGGGTATAACCACTGATCCATATAATAACTGGATAGCTCATTGGCTGAGATGTGTGAAGTCACCGGAAGTACCAATTCCGCCATGTTACAACTCTCAAAACATTGGTTCCTACCGTTGACGTAGTTGTATTTACCTCAAGGTAAACTTCGATAATTAATACCGTTAGTTGTTCTTAAAATAATCATAAATTTTCAAAATTAATTACAAGTTATCCTGAATGAAATGTGCGGCAGTTGAGTGAGTTTATGAAATAAAATAAACTAAAACGTGAAAATCACCGTTTACGTGGGCATGCCTTGCTCTTTCTTTACATTCATAATGATAATCATAATCATAAATATGATCGCATGGATGGTAAATAGAAGACATAAATCAGTCCTATTATTTTAATGAAACTTTTCACATCATAGAGGAAGGAAGGAGAAATGAATTCACGGGTGAAAAGAAAAGCAAATAAAAACAGATCAACTTTATTTATAGATGATTAAGCATTAAGGCCAAACATGCAGCTATTTATCGGCCTACCATAAGGCTAACTACAACAGTCATATTTATGTATTTTAATATAGTTCTTCAAGTTTTCTTTTCTTTTTTTATATATATATATATATATATATATATATATTTCTTCTTTTATATTTATTTATTTGCTATTGACTTTGATTTAAAGAAAAAAGAAATTGGACACATATTTAGGCCTATATAACAGCCTTTTTAAAAAAATAATCTCTACATCCTGGGCTTTTTTCCTCTAGAATTAACTGTAAAATTACAGAATAGTAAAGAAGACAATGAGTTAAGACTTAGCCTATAATAATATAGTCCTATAATAATATGTATTTTTAAAGAATAAATTTGGACAGTGAATAAACAGTGAAAATACAGAATTGTAAAGTATGAGAAGAAAATGGGATATAAGCAGGACTATGCAATGAGTAAGGGTCTTTTAAGAAGAAAATAGGATATAGGCCTAAGCTATGGAAGTGTTTTTTTTGTCCCCCGCCTTTCGAAGAAAGCAGGGGACTATTAAAATGGGTTCGTCCGTCTGTCTGTCTGTCTGTCTGTCTGTCTGTCCGTCTGTCTGTCCGTCTGTCTGTCCGTCACACTTTTTGGGACACAATAACTCTCTTCCTAATTGAGCTAGAATGTTCAAACTTGGTGTATGTGTTTATTAGGTCAATTCCTTGATGGAGTTCGAAGATGAGCATTTTCCGCTTAGGGTAAGCAGAGATAAGCAATTTGATTGGTTGATGCTTTGGGACACGATAACTCTCTTCCTAATTGGGCTAGAATGTTCAAACTTGGTGTATGTGTTGATTAGGTCAATGCCTTGATGGAGTTCGAAGATGAGCATTTTCCGCTTAGGGTAAGCAGAGATAAGCAATTTGATTGGTTGATGCTTTGGGACACGATAACTTTTAATTGAGCTAGAATGTTCAAACTTGGTGTATGTGTTTATTAGGTCAATGCCTTGATGGAGTTCGAAGATGAGCATTTTCCGCTTAGGGTAAGCAGAGATAAGCAATTTGATTGGTTGATACTTTGGGGCACGATAACTCTCTTCCTAATTGAGCTAGAATGTTCAAACTTGGTGTATGTGTTGATTAGGTCAATGCCTTGATGGAGTTCGAAGATGAGCATTTTCCGCTTAGGGTAAGCAGAGATAAGCAATTTGATTGGTTGATGCTTTGGGACACGATAACTTTAGTTCTAATTAAGTGAGATTGATGAAACTTGGTGTATAGTTTCATTACAGTAATACCTTGACTAAGTTTGATAATGAGCATTTTCTGCTCAGGGTAAGCAGAGCGATACGCAATTTGATTGGTCGAGACTTTGGAAAACAATAACTCTCCTACTTTGATTGTCCCCCGCCTTTCGAAGAAAGCAGGGAACTATTAAAATGGGTTCGTCCGTCTGTCTGTTTGTCTGTCTGTCCGTTCCGCTTATGGTAAGCAGAGATAAACAATTTGATTGGTTGATCTTCGAATTGAGTAAATGTTCATGCTTATTGTCCCCCGCCTTTCGAAGAAAGCAGGGAACTATTAAAATGGGTTCGTCCGTCTGTCTGTTTGTCTGTCCGTTTCGCTTAGGGTAAGCAGAGATAAACAATTTGATTGGTTGATGCTTTGGGACACTATAACTTTAGTTCTAATTAAGTAGATAAACAATTTGATTGGTTGATGCTTTGGGACACTATAACTTTAGTTCTAATTAAGTGAGAGTGATGAAACTTGGTGTATAGTTTCATTACAGTAATACCTTGACTAAGATCGATAATGAGCATTTTCTGCTCAGATTAAGCAGAGCGATAAGCAATTTGATTTGCTGAGACTTTGGAACACAATAACTCTCCTTCGAATTGAGTTAAAATGTTCAAAATTGGTGTGTATGCTTATTGTCCCCCGCATGAAACGAAATCCACTTATGTATACATTTAGGTTACATTATAGCCTACATGTCCCGACTCAACTTGCCACATTACATGTCATAATATTATAACCAGGTATTGATAAAAGCATCAATTGAGCAATTCCAATACAATCCAATACAATGAATATAGGCAAGGTAAATAAACAAATAAATGGAAAAAACAAATTGAAAAAGAAACTATTATAAATTAATTAAATATGTAGTATGCAATAATGAATTGACATTTAATGACAGAAAGAAAACAGTGAACTTTGCACAACTTGCAGCAAGATGGAAAATAGACCCGTTGATACAACCAAACTCTAGATCTGTAGGCATAGAGCATGTTTTCCCCTTAATATGCTATAATTATTCCATCAAAAACATTGTATGCTTAGACTATAAGTAAAGATATACTGTTTGATTGTTCAATACTTTGTAAAAGATAATTTGTGATAAATTTATATGTGTCCTCTAATTATTTTCCTATTTCGGCGGGGGACATCAGCCTCACTGTTGGCTTGTTTATCATACAATTACCTAATGTATCTTTAAACTTTTCAAAAAATATAAGAGAATAGAGAATAGCAACAAAAAAAAACAATAAGTGTTTTTTAAAAAAAAAAAAAAAATATGATATAGGCCTATAATAATATAAGTAATTTTTTTAAAAGAAAAATGGATATATGCCTATGCAATGACACGTGTTTATTAATATAAAGACCCCACAATAAAAATAACTTATATATAGGCCTATATATCTTTGAACTTTTCTAAAATTACTAGAAATCGGACGCAAATATAGGCCTATATGTGAATAGCCTTTTTTATAAAAAAAAAATAAAAAACTCTAAAATTACTAACTGGACAATACATCATTAGTTTCTCTTCCTCTAAAATTAACTGTGAAAGTAAAAGAAAAGTAAAAGAAGAAAATGCTGTAAGTAAGGCCTATATATTTCTAAAGAATAAATTTGGACTGTTTTGTATTTAATTAACATTGAAATATAGAATTTTGAATTGTAAAGAAGAATATGGGATACAGGCTTGTAAAATATAGTTATGTATATTGTAAAGAAAAAGATGAATTTGTGCTATTTTCTTTGAAATTAACACTGAAAACACAGAATTGTCAATTGTAAAGGAGATAATGGAATACAGGCCTATAATGTAAGTAGTGTTTTTTAGGAATATGATATACGGCTATAACAGTAGTAGGGGTTTTATTTAAAGAGGAAAATATGATATAGGCCCATGCAGTGAAATGTTTTTATTAAACAATATACAGTTTCCATAATTACAGTAGACTATGAAGAAAATATACGATCCGCCTGAAAAAGTTAACTTCTATATCTTTAAACTTTTCTAAAATTACTAGAAAAAAAACACAACTGCGCATTTAATGTAAATCTTTTTATATATACATAGACTCTAGAATTACAGACTATGAAGATAATAATATTATATAATACCACATAAAATTAACTTTTCTATATATCTTGACCCTTTTTTTCTGTAAAATACTGAATAGTAAAAAAAGAAAATGGGTTATTTATATAAAGATCCTAAAATGTAAAAAAGAAAGTAGAATATAGGTTTAGATGTATGTAGAAAAAAAGCTATAAAATTACATATTAGGATAAAGAATAGCACAAAAAAAAATTAGCTGAACAGTATTTAAATTTGAATATTGCAATATGCCATTGCAAAGACAAATTGGTAGTGTAAATACTGCTTATACTTTTATTATTTTATCATGTACCCTATATGTCAATAGATATTATGTACTTTTTTTTTTTACCAAAGGACATGATACAATTTTGGTATTCATAAATATTTGAAATATAGTAGAAATTTCTGGACGAATACAACTGGCTGATTTCCAAACATTTTTAAAATCCAAAATCAAAACTATAATTTAAAAAAACAAGGGGTGGCATCTTGCAGTTACACTCTCTTTTTCGTCAGATGATTTTATATTTTCCAAACAATGACTGATTTAGTATGTATTATTAATGGTAATGGTAATGGTACAAAAGCCCATGCCTTACTCTATAATTTAGTATTTATTATTTTCAATTGTATATATAAATAGATAATTCAACGTTATATTATAATCTGATTTACGGCAAACTGTATGGTTCGCCTCAAAACATTTTATGGCCTTCAGCCGATATATTATAATGAGAATGTGCACTTTTAACTATTTTAAGAATAAAATCAATGTTGTACCCTTGTGAATTTATTTTATATAAAAACGCCAACAATGTTTTAGACACAATATAATGTTCTGTTGTTAATGATTTCGTCGAATTTGCTTGTAAACAAAGCGCATACTAATAGTGGAAATAAGAGACTATAATTGCTTCTGGGTGTAGCAAGATGGCGGACGGTGGCTTCAAGCTACGTCATTTGTTGATTGCGTCATGAGCTATCCAGTTATTATATAGATCAGTGGGTATAACATGCTAGTTTTCTGCACCAGCTGTGCTAATGAAGACAGGCATATGCCATATAGTGATTATTTCGAATTCCAACTGTTACAGTCTTTTATATGCACCCTAATGTGTACATAGGATCTTGAATTTTCGTACCATCCAAACAATTAGAAAATGTTCCTGGCAAGGCTCTCTGTTCTGCACCACTGACAAGGGGAAACTTTCTCGGTTAACACTGGGATCAAACCTGCGACCTCTTTTATATGCCCACATTGAAATGTGGACGTATATTGCCGTCGCCCCTGTCCGCCCGTCCGTCCATCGTCCACAATTTCTTGTGAACACGCCAAAAGTTATCATCCAATTGTTTTAAAATTGATATATGTTGTTTACATTAGTGAGATGAAGAAGCCTATTTAATTTCAATAATTTCTGTTTATTATGTCTAGAGTTATGGCCCTTGTTTCACTTTATTGAACATTGTGAACGCTCTAACGCCAAAAGTTATCATCCGATCTTTCTGAAATTTATATGCATTATTTAGATTACTCAAACGAAGAAGCCTATTGAATTTCAGCAATTTCCGTTTATTACGTCTAGAGTTATGGCCCTTGTTTCACTTTATTGATCCTTGTGAACGCTCTAACGTCAAAAGTTATCATCCGATCTTTCTGAAATTTATTTGCATTATTTAGATTACTGAAACGAAGAAGCCTATAGAATTTCAGCAATTTCCGTTAATTACGTCTAGAGTTATGGCCCTTGTTTCACTTTATTGATCCTTGTGAACGCTCTAACGTCAAAAGTTATCATTCGATCTTTCTGAAAATTATATGCATTATTTAAATTAGTGAGACGAAAAAGCCTATTGAATTTCAGCAATTTCCGTTAATTACCTCTAGAGTTATGGCCCTTGTTTCACTTTATTGAACCTTGTGAACGCTCCAACGCCAAAAGTTATCACCCAATCTTTGTGAAATGTATATGCATTATTTAGATTAGTGAAACGAAGAAGCCTATTGAATTTCAGCAATTTCCGTTTATTACGTCTAGAGTTATGGCCCTTGTTTCACTTTATTGATCCTTGTGAACGCCAAAAGTTATCACCCGATCTTTGTGAAATTTATATGCATGATTTAAATTAGTGAAATGAAAAAGCCTATTGAATTTCAGCAATTTACAATAATTACTTCTAGAGTTATTGCCCTTGTTTCATTTTGTTAAACCTTGTTAATGCTTGATTGATGAAAGTTATCATCCGAAATGTATGAAATTTATATGCATTATTTAAATTAGTAAAACGAAAAAGCCTGTCAAATTTCAACAATTTCTGTAGATTACCTCCAGAGTTGAGACCCTTGTTTCAGTTTTTAGAACCTTGTAAACCCTCTAACGACAAAATTTATAATCTGATCTGTATGGAACTGTCTTGTAAAGGCCCCCAATTACCTACAAATGCGACAACCCTTGTCGACCGCTCGGACGATTTTGCTGCTGTGGGCGTATGATTTGTTGCCTGGCAACCTATCTTTTAGCGAGCGAGCACCTTGCACACTGAGCCACAGCAGCTTCTCTGGTCATGGGAGTTAACCATCTTGCACAAGATGTTTGTTTGCATGATACAAAACAAATTTAATGGTGCTATTTATTTTGTATTTGGTGGAGCAGTCGATGATGAAATTAACAAATCTTGATTATTGCTGTATTATTGATGATACAAAAATGGAGATAAAATCTACCTGTTCAAATCTAAGAAACACAGCTTGTATTTTATATTTATCAAAGTAATTAATAAACTGTGTGTTTTGTAGAAAATATACAATAACTGATGAAGAAATGTTCCTAATATGTGGTGGCAGAACAGCTCACAAGTAAGTACATTTGACTAAATTAACCCAGATTAATAAATCCTCTACAAACTTTTTAAAATCCAATTCAGAATGCTGCGTAATTATTAATTGTAATTTCCATTAATATTCTGAAAAACTTTAATGAGAGGTGAAATAGGGTGTCAATGGGGCAGGTATGTAGTGCAGTATACAAGGTAAATTTATTGGTATTTAATGTGATGTTAAGTAAGATATAGAATATTAATTAGTGTAAGATTGCAGTATTTTAATGTGGCAACATATTTATCTTTCAGGGGAGCTAGACATGGACTTAAATTGAATGGTAAACTACAAAGAATAGAAGAGAATGAAGCTAAGATGCTCGAAGAGTTGAAACAGAGAAGAAAAGACAAAACAATTGATATTGAGAAGATTGATGATATGAAATCTAAGAAAAAGAGGAAAAAAGACAAGAAAAAGGATTGTGATGAAATCGAAACCATGGAGGAGAATGAAAAGAAAAGCAAAAAAATATGTGCCAATATTGAAGAAACAAATGACATTATCAATGAAGATGATGAAAAACAAATTAAAGCCAAAAAAAGAAAGAAAAGAGAGAAAGAAAGTGTAAATGATCATTGTAAACTTGATATAACATGTAGTGATAGTAAATCTAAGAGTAAAAAGAAGAAAAGACAATTAGACTGTGATAGTATATTTGATGAATTAAATAATGATCAAATTAGAAAAAAGAAGAAAAAGAATAAGAAAAAATGTAAAGATATTGAATGAAACATTTTTTTATTCACTTATAAAATATTTATAAATATTATATATACACCACATACAAAATTGTGTAAATGAAATAAATTATACTAAACAGCACAAAAAAAAATGTCAGTAAAATTTCAAAATCAGAGAGGCATTTTAATCAAATCATTCTAGAAAACGACTTACTAAATGTATCAAAGCAGTTTTTTGTGAACAGTATGTTGACACATTAGTGATTAATTCATCACAATTCCAAGACATTATGAGAAGGTTTAGAGTCTGTACACAGTCTATACATCAGTAACTGGTGTGTCCACCGCAAGTGTAAATAACAGCAGCACAGTGTCTATGCATGGAGTGGACCAGATGATTGGCACCTGGAACCACGCTCTCAGAAAAACCTGGCGCAATCCATCGACTGTTTGGTCTCGGTATGACGTTATTAAGTCTCCTCTGAATTTCATCCCGAATGTTCAATCGGGTTTTAAGTCCAGACTAAAGGCTGGCCAGTGCATAATGCTGACACTATTCTGCTGTAGAAAGTCCCGAGTAACTCTGGTGGTGTGGGCACGGGCGTTGTCATGCTGGAAAACATTGTTTCGATGACGTGTGAAATGTGGTATGACATGGTGTCTGATCGAGAGCTTGATCGATGTAGCGCACTGCTGAGATGCCGCCTCCTCTCCCTGGACCAAGATTTTGGAACACCACAGGACCCACTCTCTGGTTCAGGACAATTCCACCCCAAACCATTATGCTTGGACCTCCCCATGAGTCTCATTCCATGACACATTGGTCAGAATAACGCTGGCCACGTCATCCCCATATTCTGGTCCTGCCATCTGCAGTTGATACGCAATACCGACTCTCATCTGTGAACAGAATAGTTCTCCATTGCCTGTGTCACCAGTTCTGGTGTTGTTGGCAAACTGTAGATGTCACGTCTATGGCAAGGGTTAAGGATCGGTCCACGGTAGGTCTACGGCAATGGATGTTCTCTCTGGTGAGCCGTTGGTGCACTGTATCGGTACTGATGGGTCTTCCATGTGTTCCCACTGTCTGACATGCTGTCTCAGATGCTTGTGTGAAGGGATTCTGCACGTGCTGTTGCACAACATGGCGTTGCTGAAGCCTGTAGATGGTCCGAACACTTACCTGGAAGTGATTGGCAACAGCTTGGGCAGTGTGACCAGCGTTGAGTCTGCCAAGCGCCTGGTTCGTCAGAGCTGTCGTGAGTTGTGGCATGCTGTTGACGTTGTAGTGTGAATGATTTAACCAGGTATGGGGGTGCATCTTATAGGGCTGGTCATGGTGAACAGCACGTGCAGCCTGAGTTACATGAAAATCGTGGAGAACACATTACCATCTCAAAAGTCAGGTTGCGTTTTTGAGAACATTTCCTGGGTTCAATTCTGTGTTTGGGAAGGAGCCTTATAGCTCAGGTAAAGTTGAAGATGTGATCACAAATAAATAAAAACATTTGGCAAGTTTTATGCAATGCGTCTAATCAGAGTAACATACCAACCTGATGTTTCTTTTGCTGCTTAGTATTATAAATATGAATTCATACCTCTCTGTCAGTTTGTCAACAATTGGCTTGTTAAAGTTACAATTTCATATTTTTAAGTTATATTTTTAAAATGTATTAAAATAAAGCCCTAAAATAGATGGTATCTATAAACAGTCCTACCTTGTTAAAGAATAAACCTATAATTCACTATAATTCATTTTCATCTTCAAATTCAAACGTTTGAAGATAGCTATTCCATTGGGGGGGGGGGGAATAGGAAAACAAGGGAGGTAATTGTGTTATTATTTCCGGTGTGAAGATTTTTAAGTGTGAGAAAGATAACCTATGATCGTATAATAGTGAGTTGACAACCTATTGAGCAAAAGACATAGAAATAATTATGTTTTAACTTTCTTAGAAAATATGAAATTGTAACTTTAACACAATAGTGACTACAACTTTTAACAAGTTTTTACAAATTTGATGTGAACCATTGGGGTCATGATAGAACAAATCCTTTCCTTCCCCCCCCCCTTCCACATTTTTCCGAAAACCTTGTAATCACCATAGAGGCTACTGTTTTAATAGATTTTTTTTTCATTTTTCGATTTGAAGCATTGGGGTCTTGAGAGAGAGAGAGAGAGGACAAACCCTATGATATTCAGCATTCCTTGAACTTCTGTTCCTGTGTTACACCCCCTCCCACCCACCAACTGGTGTAGGTTTGAAAATTCTTGGTGTAGTAGTCCCGGTCAGTTTATGACTCAAAAAGACCAGAAATGGAGTTCAACGTCCTGCTTTTCTGCACCAACCAGGCCAATGAAGACAGGCTCACACAATACAGTCTGCTATGAAGAAAGTTTTGCCCCGAAAGCACCACAACCGCAGCCTACTCTTATTTTGAATTCCAAGGAATCTTTTAAAAGCATGCCAATACAGGACCTGGGCCTATGTTTTTCATCCCATCCAAATGACTAAACACTCACTGCTTGTTAGGTCCTCCATCCCGCACCACTTATAACGGGAATCCAAACTAGGAAATCTTTCGGCCCACACCGGGATCATGTTTTCAATTTCGAAGACTAGAGACTTCGCTACTTTTTTCTTTTTTTAACACGTGCAGTCTTTACTTTTACCTTTAAATCATTGTTTAGGCCTATTTATATTCATTTGGAACAGATAATATAAAAGACTGATATTCCTATGTATGAGGGTCGCCTGTCCAACCTCGTGGGTTTTCTCCGGGTCCCCCGGTTTCCTCCCACTCCTAAAGACCCCTACGCGTAAAGCAAATTATGGAAATAAAATTGAACCATATGTAAGTCCCAAAATTTGTGTCGAGTGGACGTTAAACCCCATCTCTCCAATGTTATGTCATCATTCTAAGCACGATATGCTACCGTTATACAGTAGGACGTTAAACCCCATTTCATTTCATTTCATTTCTACCGTTATACAGAAGAACACGACGACCTTAATATCACTTACTAGAAATAGACTATAGTCTACGAAGCGTGAAAGGTTAGCCTGCCGGAGCTCATTAGCATATCGATACCAACAACATGGCCGTCAGTGTGTGACCGCTTCAAAGATATGCAGCAATATTTCGAGATTTTGCAACAGTGAATGAAAAGTTTTAAGTGCTTGACACAAGTGTGGAAGAAATATGGTTTTCGAATCCCTTGTTGTTGATCTAATCAACAGATTTCTTGGAGATTATGTGGAAAATCTGGATAGTTCCCAACTAAAGTTAGGAATTTGGGGAGGTAAGCGATACCCATTATTGACACACACTGACAGTCTTGGAATCATAGTTGGCATTGTTATACCATCTACTGATGATGACAACAGCGCTATTTTGGATGTTTCATTATCCGAATGCCTTTGAATGAAAATGTATTATTTAAGAACAAAAAGTCAAACTTATTCTTCATTCTAGTGGTTAGCTTTTTAATATTTTTATAAATTGTTTCCCTTGAAGCAAAAGCGCGTGATACCGATAAGAGTTAATTTGCACGTGACTCAACTTTCGCTTTCACCGGCGAAATTAACAAATTTGGCATCAAAATGATGTAGGATTTACAGAATTGGCTTTGTCGTGTCAGATATAATATGTTACAGAAACCTTTGTTTGCAGCAAAATTGTGATTAGTAATTTTACCCCTTCTTTATATGTTGTTGACCCGTCGAGGAATCAATAAATTGAACACTTGAGTAATGAGAACGTGGCACGCTTCGCCACTACGACTACAAGGAGACCTTGCAATGCACGCGCATAAGAATCGATCTTGCGTGACGACCACGAGTAACTTGTTTAACACGTGCATATTATATTCACCGGCACATTACAATAGGCATGTTATACACACATTATTGTTTGATTGAATTATTCATGGCTGTTTATTTTTATTAACCACCATATAAAAATAGAGTCATTATATTCACTCGAAGAAAATAAATAATTCATTTTGAATAATGTATTTTAAATAACCATAAACCCACATAATAAAATAATTGAAAATTCAACCATTAACTTTTTCATAGGCCTTCTTTGAACAAGAAAATCTGTAAACAATTTGGGAGCCACGGTGGCTTAGTGTGTAAGAAGCTGCCTCACTAGCCTGGAGGGGGGTTGGATGGCTGAATGATTAGCATGTGCGTGCTGTATCATAAGTAGGGTGCCCCACCATAAATATCTCCAAATATCTCGACAATTACACCACAATATTTATATATACACCAAGCCTTAAATCAGTTTCAAACAATTATAGTCACTAAATAAACGGTCATGCTGTAGGGGCTACTTAATAAGCTATGACCATTTAATCATCCATAAATATTACACTGAAAGATGGTTACGAGTGTCGGCCATAACATCTGAGCATATGTGAGTAAAAAAAAATAGGTTATGAGCCCTTGTTTTGAAAGTGGTCTTGCTTAACCAGTCTTCCGACCATTCTACGTTTGACAGGCCGGGATAATCAAGACTACTTTTTTAAGAAATATAGCAGAAAGGTGGAACAAGAAATTGAATTTAGAAACACACACGTTGGGCAACTCAACAATTGTTTTAAGAACCTTGTACATGTAAAAGTAAAATGAAACTACTGCGAGTATCACGTTCTTGCCCAACGCAGGTATTTCAGAGATATTATTTGTACTAAACCAAAAGATGACAGTTAATGATAAAGCAATTAAAAAAATAAAACGAACGTAATTTCTAAAGCTGCTGTAATAACCAATAAGCTAAATAATACTGCTATTCAGAATCGTCAACAATAGTTTTTTTACAGCTGTAATAGTTGATAGATGTGTAGAGAATTGCACGTGCGATGGCTATTTATAGTATCATCGAGTCTACGGATGAGTATTATTTTACTGCGTAGTAAGCGAGAAATCACTTCTGATTAAGCTACTGAAGCGTGTACATTCGTCGTGTCGAGACCAACTTTCTGTATGGAAAATTTTGGGTGCACGGGTCACCCTATCATAAGTCAACTGGCGTGGTTTCGATTGCCCGGTTATACGTGACAAGGAGTAGGGTCGCCTGTCCAACCTTGTGGGTTTTCTCCGGGACCTCCGGTTTCCTCCAACTGCTAAAGACCCCTACACACAAGCGAATTATTGAAATAAAATTGAACCATGTGTTAGTCTCGAAATGACTTAGTTTGTGTCGAGTGGATGTTAAACCCCATTTCTTTCTCTCACACTAGCATGGAGGTCGCGTGTTCGATCCCTGCATTGGCCGAGAAAGTACATTGGGATTGTCACTTTGTCAGTAGTGCCGGACTGAGGGCCTGACAAGGACAGCTGTCTAGTCATTCGGATGGGATGAAAAATCAAGGTCCTGTGTATACATTGGCGTGTATGTAAAAGATCCCTTGGCAGTTGGAATTCAGTATATGAATAGGCCATAGTGCGGCTGCCCGGGCAAAAGTTTCCCTTATAGCACACTGTATTGCATATGCCCGTCTTCATTCGCCCAGTCGGAGCAGAACAGTAGGACTTGAAACCCTATTTCATTTCATTTCTGACTTGTGAATTGAAACTTAAAACATAAATGTTTTTATTGATGGCATTGCAAATTAAACTGAAATTTTGTATGCAATCCTATTTGATCATTTCCTGTGTAACTACTTTACGGTCAGACAAAGAAATATTGTTTTACTCACCAACAAATAAGGCCCCCCTTGACAATTTTAAATAGAAGGAAAGAGCAGTATGTATAAAAAAACCTCACCCATGCCAGGCAACCTGGGATTGCATAGATAACAGACCTTATGTTCTACATGGCAGACACATAGACCAAAATGGAAGAATCCAATCAGATATTTTGTTATCACAAATCGCTGAGTTTCCCCATTTTAATTCAGAATCATAAAATCAGAATATCATGGTGTAATCTTGTGATAAAAAATGGATATGAAAATAATGTTTGTTTGTAGCACTGCACTATCTATGTTTGCAACAAATGGTTATATTTTGTAGAAACTGTTAGGCTGATACTATTACAGCATAGTTATATTTTTTAGTCATTTGACTTACTCTTGCACCGAATATATGGCACTTTGGGCTGGGCTGTGATGGGGTGGTGGAATCTGCTTGGAAATACTAGATGGTAAAACTCAGATAAGTGCTTTATTGCATTTCACAGCACTGTTTGTTGATTTTAAAAATGGTGTTGAGTTACCATGGTAATGGTATAATTTGGGTGTGGGATATCAAATTTCATTTTGACTTTGAGTGCCTGGTTGTTGCATTCCAGCTATTTGCCATTACCTTGACATTTCTATTTAATTTAAAGTTCAGTCAGTGCTCTTCTAGGGATAATGAAGTATGTTGCCTATGATAATTATAAACTGTATACTCAAGTTATATTAAAGACACATTTATGTAAGATTTATTGTCCCCCACCTTTCGAAGAAAGCAGGGAACTATTAAAATGGGTTTGTCCGTCCGTCCGTCTGTCCGTCACATTTTTTTGGACACAATAACTTCTTTTCTAATTGGGCTAGAATGTTCAAACTTGGTGTAGGTGCTTATTAGGTCAATGCCTTGATGGAGTTCGAAGATGAGCATTTTCTGCTTAGGGTAAGCGGAGATAAGCAGTTTGATTGGTTGATGCTTTGGGACACGTTAACTTTAGTTTTAATTAAGTGAGAGTGATGAAACTTGGTGTATAGTTTCATTACATCAATACCTTGACTAAGTTCTTCGATAATGAGCATTTTCTGCTCAGGGCATCAGAGCGATTAGCAGTTTGATTGGGCGAGACTTTGGAACACAATAACTCTCCTTCTAATTGAGTTTGCAACCTCGTGGGTTTTCTCCGGGTCCTCTGGTTTCCTCCCACTGCTAAAGACTCCTACCCGCAAGCGAATTATTGCAATAACATTAAACCATATGTTAGTCCTGAAATGACCTAGTCTGTGTAGAGTGGACGTTAAACCCATTTCTCTCTCTCTAATTAAGTTGACACTTGGCGTAGGTGTCTATTAGGTGAATGCCTTGATGGAGTTCGAAGATGAGAATTTTCTGCTTAGGGTGAGCAGCGATAAGCAATTTGATTGGCCGATGCTTTGGGACACGATAACTTTAGTTCTAATTTAGTGAGAGTGAGAGCACTTGGTGTATAGCTTTATTGCATCAATACCTTGACTAAGTTGGATAATGAACATTTTCTGCTGAGGGTAAGCAAAGCGATAAACAATTTGATTGGTCGAGACCTTGGAACACAATAACTCTCCTTCTAATTGAGGTAGAATGTTCAAACTTGGTGTAGGCGTTCATTAGGCGAATGCCTTTATGGAGGTCGATGACGAACATTGTCTGCTTACGGTAAGCAGAGATAAGCAATCTGATTGGTTGTTGCTTTGGGGCACAATAACTTTGGTTATAATGGAGTGAAATTGATGAAACTCTGAATATAGATTCATTATATCATTACCTTGACTAAGTTCGATGGTGAGAATTTTCTGCATAGGCTAAAGAGCAATAAACAATTTGATTTGTCAAGACTTTGGAACATAACAACTCTGCTTTTAACTGAGGTAGAATGTTTAAACTTGATGTAGATGTTCATTAGGTGAATGTCTTGACTGAGTTCAATGATTAACAGAGCTAATCAATTTCATTGGTTGATAGTCGATGCTTTGGGACAAGATAATCTTGATTTTAGTGTATTGTTTGATTGCTGGATACTTTTGAAAAAAATAGATGTGCGATTAATTAATGTGTCATCTATTTATTTTGGGATTTCAGCGGGGGACATCGGCCTCACTGTTGGCTTGTTTATGTAAGATTTAGATACATGTAAAGAACTGGACTTTCTTGCTATAATAATAGTTCAAATATAGATAATGCAAAATGAATTACTTTATTCTGATCGGAGTTATCATTGTGTATAGTTTTGACAAAACATGTGCATTGATTGTTTATTATTGTAACCATGGTGCTGGTTATTCAAGACTTATCCTCGCTTCTCCATTTTTATATGCCCACATTGAAATGTTATGGTCCTTGATTACTTCAAAAAATCTTGTGGACGCTCTAGAAGCCAAAGTTAATATCAGGTTGACTTTAAATTTATACACAGTGTTTAAGGTCATGAGACGAAGAATCCTATTGATTTTCAGCGATGTTCGATAATTACTGCCAGAGTTATGGCCCTTGATCACTTTAAAAAATTTTGTGGACGTGTTAGAGGCTAAAGTCAATATCTGAATGACTTTAAATTTATACACAGTGTTTAAGGTCACGAGACGAA